GGAAAGGTACACCAAATCCTTCTTGTGTTTCAGATCTCCCTGATTGACTTTTCTGGAACCAGCCAGAGAAAGCACTCTGCTTTTAAAGTTTTCATGTGGATGTGTTAGGCCCACCGAGATAATCTATCTTTAGGTCAACTGGTTAGTAAACTTAATTATGTTTGCAAAATCCCTCTTGCCATGTAAAGTAACATAGTCATGGGGGCCATCTTAGAATTCTGCCTACTATACTTTATATAGGCATTCTGTTATATAGATTCAGTTTTTAGGTTGAATAACATGACAGCATTCAGAACATTAAATATGAATCACCATAGTGAATTATATTTAGGTTAAATTACTTTTATTGTGAATGTGATGCAAAGGATTTGTGGTATTGAAAAATACATACTTTAAAATAGATAGCTAATGGGAAGCAGCCGCATAGCATAGGGAGATCAGCTCCGTGCTTTGTGTCCACCTAGAGGGGTGGGATAGAGAGGGTGGGAAGGAGATGCAAGAGGGAGGAGATATGGGGATGTGTGTATATGTATAACTGATTCACTTTGTTATAAAGCAGAAACTAACACACCATTGTAAAGCAATTGTACTCCAATAAAGATGTTAAAAAGAAAAATACATACTTTTTAAATGTCTATAAATATATCAGATAAAAAGTACATTTAAAAGATATATTTTAAAAAGCTATTATAGGGCTTCCCTGGTGGCGCAGTGGTTGAGAGTCCGCCTGCCGATACAGTGGACACGGGTTCGTGCCCCGGTCCTGGAAGATCCCACGTGCCGCAAAGCGGCTGGGCCCGTGAGCCATGGCCGCTGAGCCTGCGCTCCGCAAAGGGAGAGGCCACAACAGTGAGAGGCCCGCGGACCGCCAAAAAAAAAAAAAAAAGCTATTATAAATGCTCAGCATATGCCTAGAATTCTTTGATTCCATCAGATGACAGGGAGTAGCCTTATCTCCTCAATATATGCTATTAATCATGGTCTTGGTCATTCATTAATGACACAAACTCATAGACTTTAGAGCTAAAAGAGATCAGAGATCTTCTGGCACCCTCCCCCTCCTTTGTTTGTTTGTTTGTTTGTTTGTTTTTGCGGTATGCGGGCCTCTCGCTGTTGTGGTCTCTCCCGTTGCGGAGCACAGGCTCCGGACGCGCAGGCTCAGCGGCCATGGCTCATGGGCCCAGCCGCTCCGTGGCACCTGGGAAGCCCCCTCCTTTGTTTTTTTTTCATAAATGAGGAACCTGAAACTCGGAGAGGGATATGACTCAGAGAAGGCCATAGAGCCAGCTAGTCAGTGGTAAAAATTGGCCTAGAGTACATGTTTTCTGATTTCCTTTCTGGTAGAAATAATAACAACAGTACCATTAATGAAGATTTTCTATATAGCAGGCACTATCCTAAGCACTTTAAATATATTATTTTCCTTAACTGTAACAAAAATTATATCAGGTAGGCATTACTATTATCATTGCCATTTCACAGTTTGAGAAAGCTGAGTCACAGAGAAGGTAACTTGCTTCATGTCACCCAGCTAGTACGTGATAGAGTAGGGATTCTAAGAGAAACAGTTGGACACCAGGGCCTGACCTCTTCACTATTCTCTGCTCTTTCCACCCCACCAGCTGCTTCAAGCAGGGCCTTCCACATATACTCATGAGTTAGCTTAGTAGCATCTTCACGGACAGCTGTCCAACCAAGCTATATTCTGACAACAAAATAGTGAATAGCAGAAAACTTGGAGTCAGGGAACTGTGTATAAACTCAGGTTCTGTCATTTTTTGTTTGGCTTCAGGGAATTGTGTAACCCACTGGGGCCCTTGGATACTGGATCTGTAAAATGGGGATTATGAGAGTTGTTCTACAGAGGACACATGTAAAAAGCAATCTGTAAACAAAAGGATTACATGCTCGTTGTATTGTTATTCTTTGCCAAATGGTCACTAGTTCTTATCAGCCTGTAATAGCAGATTTTCAAGTCACTTTTGCTGTGATGAGTCAGGCATTAAATGAAAACCAGTAGATTTTTGACACTGCAAAGGCCATGTCCTGAGACCTTTAGGAAGTCATGTGTTCTGTACTTATCCTCATTCTGCACTTTCAAACGTTACTGAAATTGTATATCTCACTTGGTGGTGGTTTTTCATGCTTCATAGGCACTCTTCACAGGAAGTGAATGGTAAAGCTACACGGAGAGGCCAGGACTCAGCCATTGGCCTGGCTCCCTCACACCAGCCCAGCACCTTTCATGATTCCAGTTCACTGGACAAAATTTTACTACTTTTTTTTTATTAATTTTTTTTGGAGTATTGTTGATTTACAATGTTGTGTTAGTTTCTGCTGTACAACAAAGTGAATCAGTTATACATATACATGCATCCACTCTTTTTTAGATTTCTTTTCCCATATAGGTCATTACAGAGTACTGAGTAGAGTACCCTGTGCTATACAGTAGGTTCTTATTAGTTACCCATTTTATACATAGTACTGTCTATATGTCATTCCCAATCTCCCAATTTATCCCTCCCCCACCCTTTCTTCCCTGGTAACCATAAGTTTTTTTTCTACATCAGTGGCTCTATTTCTGTTTTGTAACTAAGTTCATTTGTACCATTTTTTTAGATTCCACATATAAGCAATATCATATGATATTTGTTTTTCTCTGACTTACTTCATTCAGTTTAATGTGGCCATTTGGGGATCACTCTCAAATGAAATCATAAATATTGAATGTATGGCTATCAAGGTCTACTCTTCATCCCCAACCTTTTTGTTATTGTTGTTGTTATTTTCATCCTCTTTGTTTTATGTATATGTGTATTTTTTGCTATACTGTTTGAAAGTAAGTTGCAAACAACATAACATTTCATGTCTAAATACTTCAGCGTATGTATTTCCTAATGATAAGGAAATTTTTTATAATACATGCCACTATCTACCTAGGAAAATTAATAATTTTCTTATCCCATCTAATACCCAATTCATATTCATATTTTCCCTACTTGTCCTAATATTGCTTTTAGTGTTTTGCTTCTAGGGTTTCTTTTTATGTTGTTTTTTTTCTTGAAAAGAAACCAGTCAAAGTATACTTAAAGCATTTAATAGTTACATCCCTGTCACATTTTTAAAGCCGGAACAATTCCCCCACCTTGTTAGTTTGTTTTCATGGTATTAACTTTAAGAGACTAGGTCAATTCTCTTGAACAAAATCCCATACTCTGGGTTTGTCTGATTTTGTGTGTGTGTATCCTTTATCTTGTTATTCTATCCTCTCTATTTTTGAAAACTTAGAAAAGTTTTAGAAACTTTTTAGAAACTTTTTTAGAAACCAACTTAGAAAGGTTGGTTGCAAAGACCTGATTAGAAACAGGTTGTGTACTTTTGTCTAGAACAACTTGATAGGTGCTACAGTGATTGCCCCACTATTAGTGCTAAGTTTGCTCACTTGATTAAGATGGCAATAGCCAGGTTTCCCAGTAGTAAAGTACCTGTTTTCCTTTAACAATTAGAACTAATTTGTGGGATGATTTTTTTGGCTCATATGAATGTCCTTTTATCTAATGGCATTAGCATCCATTGATGTGCCTTATTTGAATCATTTATCCCACTGGAGGTTGCCAATTGGTAATTTTAAAATTTTCTCACTTTTTACATGTATTAACTAACCATTTCTCTGGAAGGAAGAGCCTTCCGTCATCAATGGGGGATGCTTTAGCTCCTCTCAGTAGTTCAAATCAGTACAACATGTTTTACTATCAATTACCTAAAATAGGCTCAGATTATGGAACTGAGTTGTAGATCAGTGATAACATGTTTTATATATACTTTTTAAAGCATTTTGATGTACATTGAAGTTGGAAGTGGAGAAGAGATGAAATTTAAAGCAGTGTTTCAAAATGGTGAGCAGATATTATAAGAGGTTTGATGGAAAGGATTTCCACAAGTCAATGTCAATATCACCAAATATTTATTGATCTAAAATGAAATTATTAATACCAGGAACTAAAAGAGCTTACCATATCCCAAAATACTAATGATATGAACAGTCAATGTGGATAAATATTTAGACCTGACAGGAAGTAAATTAATACAAGTAATTTGAACCATCCCCCCTGTTGCTCCAGCTTCAATCATCTCTCAGCTCCACATTCCAACATGCAAGGCCTTTGATAACTGGGGCTGTTTCTTGGATCCCAATCTGCCCATTTTTCAAGCCCAGCTCAAATCCCAACTCCCTCTGTGATGCTCCTTCCTCCCTGACCTCTGCAGATGGCACTTCGTACCTCTGTTACATCTGTGGTACTTGACTCAGTTTCCTGTTTGGTCTTCTAATTGGCTTCCATAAGCAAACCTCCTATTCAGACTGTTGAAGATCCTTAAGAACATGACTATCCATGACCAAAAATTTAAAAGCTCTTTTTTCACATGGCATTGCTGGGTTTTGCATTCCTTATGAGAATCTCTCTGAAAGTTACGAACAGATGTGAAAATGTTATCAGGCAAGGCTATCTCCTTAGTGTAGCTTTCTTTGCTTTCTAATACTGATCACCCTGCAAAAACAGGTTTTTGTGTGAAAGTTAAAGCTAGAATTGAGGATTACTCACCACCTATTCTTTGGAAATAATGTGAAGGCCTACTTCTTTGACTATGACAAAAAGAAAGAAAAAAGAAAAAGGCGTAAATTAATCTTGATTTAAATATTACAATGAAAACAAAGCTTATTTTACATAGCTTGAAACTTTTTGTTCCTTTTGTTACCAATTTGAACAGTTTTAAATGAAAATAAAACAATGGTATTTTGTGCTTCTTGAAGATTTTTTAGAAAGTTTTCATCCCACTCAACAAGACGTGATTTGAAATACCTTTTCTCTCTGTCTCCTTCATAAAAGCATTTTGTATTTATGCAGGTTTTTCATCTGAGGACCTCAAAGCATTGGCTGCTATTTTTTGTTACCAGATGATGATGACAAAACTATCACCCCTTTTGTTTTCTGTCCGTGCAGAAGCCAGTGGTAAAAAGCTACGGAGCACCGTGCAGAGAAGTACAGAAACAGGCTTGGCTGTGGAAATGAGGAACTGGATGACTCGACAGGCAAGCCGAGAATCTACAGACGGCAGCATGAACAGCTATAGCTCAGAAGGAAAGTGAGTGATGCTGGCTGTGCCGTGGTCTCCATGCCTTGCTGGAGACCTTCTTTACCTCACTCTCTGTGCTTTCACCAAAGCTAACTCACATGCCCTATAGCACCATTTTAACGTTCACTGGCTGATTTGCTGTGAAGAAAACTTTTGCTTACCCGCCACTGAGAAATGTGACATATCTGGCTTTTTATATCAATGGAAATAGGTTTGGGGATAAAGTGTTTCAATTTAAGGGCAAGATGCTAAAATGTGACTGTCACAAATAGAAGTTTGCCCTACCCTGAAATAATACATGAAAGCACAGAAATAATAAGCACTTGTGCCCGTGCCACATGTAGGATGCTAATTTTTAAAATCTTTGCTCTAAGAGTTATTACTAAAAAATATAGAATATCGATACATACTTAGTTCCATCCAGTAACAAACAGTTCGGATAAATGTAACAGCCAAAATGAAATGCCACAAAGTTGGTGAGCCTTTCCTATATGTAGTTATCATGTAGCTTTCCCTTGACTCCACTGTGTCTGAGATATTTTTAAAGCATTTGTCAAGATTGTACAGCCCTGTCACCAACAAATTAACAATAATTAGCAACTGCAGATCGTAGATGGGTGTGTAAAGGACGTTAATAGAGGAAAGTGGGGTTTACTGACCTCATCTGTCATCACCATGGAAGCATCAGGTGCTTAGGCAACATATGTGTAGTCACTTCACAGATGTGAGGCCATAGGAGCAGCTGGCAGAGTGTTGATGATTTGCCCTAGGGACCATTTGTCTAGCACAATTATATAAATACAAGAGATTTATATGGTTTCCATACATTTATAAATAAGGTTATATGGGATATTTATGGAAGCATTAAAAATGTTCAGATTAACTGTATATTTGGGAATTAAGCTTGGGGGACGAAATAGATTTGATGTTAATCAAGGAAGTCTTAAAAGAGATGGAGAATCAAGTAAAAAAGAAATGTGCAGTGAGCATTCATCACTGCAAAGCACTGCGTTAGACACTGTTAGGGATGTAAAAATGTTCAAACTATGATCCCTGTGCTCCAGGTGTTTATAGTCTTATTGGAGAAATGGGATGAATACTCATAAATTCATTCAACAGATATTTCCATACCTTCTAGTGTTCTAGGCACTTTGCTATGGGTTGGGGATATATGTCATACAAGGAAGCAAAAATCAGTTGGTGGTTAGACCATAGGCTTTAGGATCATATAGGCTTAAATTCTAATCTGTTTTCTGGTGCTATAGAAACTTGGGCAAGTTATGTAATTTTTTTAAGATTCATTTTAATTAATTGATTGAGTTTAACAAGTACTTACAGTATTTCAGGCATGGTTCTAGTGCTGGATATATATCAGTGAACAAATAAGAAAAAAACCCCTACCCTCATCAAACTTACAGTCTAACAGATAAGATGGACAAGAAACTTGAAAATTATTCAAATAAAAATTAGGAAAATATATAATATTTAATAGATTAGGTGGTATAAGTGCTAAGGAGAAAAAGGTGAGAGAAGAGATGGCAGAGGTTAAGGGTAGGGTTTTATGTAGGTTAGACAGGGCAAAGGGCACATTTGATTAAAAATCTGAAGGAAGTTAGTGAACACATGAATGTCTGAAGGAAGAACATTTCAGGCTGAAGCAACGCTGAGGCTGGAGCTTACCTGGCATCAGTAGTGGGAATGGCGGCACCGGGGAATGAGGGCAGGAGTAGTAAAAAAAACTAGGAATTAAGATACGGGGGGCAGGGGTGGACAGGTTGTATTGTCTTTATACATCATTGCAAGGACTTTGCTTTTACCCAGATCGAGATGAGAAACCAATGCAGGATTGTGAGCAGAGGCTTGACATTATCTGGCTTCAGTTTTAACAGATCACTCTGACTGCTGTGGGAGTGGAGAGAAAGGTGGCAATGGGGAGATCATTCTGAAGGCTGTTGCAGCAATACAGAAAGAGAAAATGATGGCTTGGACCTGAGTGGTAGCATTAGTGAGGTCGGATTCTGGATGTATTTTTTTTTTTTTTTTTTTTTTTTTGCTGTATGCGGGCCTCTCGCTGTCGTGGCCTCTCCCATCGTGGAGCACTAGCTCCGGACGCACAGCCCCAGCAGTCATGGCTCAAGGGCCCAGCCGCTCCGCGGCACGTGGGATCCTCCCGGACCAGGGCATGAACCTGTGTCCCCTGCATTGGCAGGC